AGAAAAGGCCTTTGACAAAATCCAACACCCTTTCCTGATTAAAACACTCAACAAAATAGGATTAGAGGGGAATTTCTTCAACATAGTAAAAACTATATATGCAAACCTGAGAGCCAACATTGTTCTCAATGGAGAGAGATTAAAGGCATTCCCTTTCAGAACAAGAACTAGGCAATGATCTACACTATCACCTCTCCTATTCAATATGGTATTGGAAGTCTTAGCGATAGCAATAAGGCAAGAGAAGAAAATAAAAGGTATTCAAAATGGCAGAGGAGGTAAAATTATCTCTACATGCAGACGATATAATAGTCTACTTAGAAAACCGTAAAAACTCAGCAAGAAAAGTACTGGACATAGCTGACCAATTCAGCAAAGTGGCAGGATACAAAATCAACATACAAAAATCAACTGGATTTTTCTACAGTGACAAAGAGAATACAAGAACTGGAGCTAAAAAAAAAAAACAAAACAAAACAGTACCTGTCACAATAGTTAATAACAAGATTAAATACTTGGGAGTAAATCTAACCAGAAACACAAAGGATCTATTCAAAGAAAATTACAAAACATTACTAAGAAACAAAAAGAGACCTGGAGACGTGGAAGAATATCCCTTGCTCATGGACAGGAAGACCGAGTATTGTGAAAATGACCATACTACCAAAGGCAATTTACACGTTCAAAGTAATCCCAATACAAATAGCAATTCCTTTCTTTAACGAGCTGGAAAAGGCTATCTCCAATTTCATTTGGAATGGAAAGAGGTCCCAAATAAGCAAAGCACTCCTTTAAAAAGAAACAAGTAAGGATGGCAATGGAACCACCTTACCACTGTAACTTGATTTGTGCCACTAATAGAACCTCTACTCAGAATATTACTGCTTTTCAATTTTTGACTCATGCACTTTTAACTTGTTAAATTTGTATCTTCTAGGCTGCAACACTTCCATGATACATCTTCAAGGATATGAACTTGTACAGCTAAGCAAAACTGATAACAGTGCATCTAAATTCCAAAATCAATCTCCATAATAGTCTATGTGTTTCCTACTGCCAAGGGGGCCCTTTGGAGTAGTGAGAGAAGACATTCACCCTGAAACCCACAGCGTCCCTTTTCAGCAGGAAGTAGCTAAGAGAATACGTCATCCCCTTTTCCTTATGAATCAGGGTGAAGTCTCTCTCAGGGAGGAGTGATAGGGAATGGCAAGGGACACACTGACAAAGGAGATTAATCAGAACTGGCTTTGACAAGCACTGTGGCAATTGGACAATTAAAACAGACATTGGGAGGGGGAGAAGAACGAACTGGGGATGAGGGTGGAGAAAACAGTGCAACAATGAATGAATGAAAACCCAAAATCTCTGTAAATGTTCATTAAAACTAATAAAATTTAATAAAATTAAAAAAAGATAACACACACAAAAAAAAAGAAAGAAAGAAACAAGGGAGGAGGCATCTCACTCCCTGATTTCAAATACTACTACAGAGCCATCATGGTCAAGAGAGCATGGTACTGGTACAATGACAGACACATAGATCATTGGAATAGAACTGAGAATCCAGAAATCAGCCCATCTACCTATAGTCAACTGATTTTTGACAAGGAGATGAAATCAATTAAGTGGAGAAAATACAGCCTAAAAAAAAATGGTGCTGGCAAAACCGGACAACCATCTGTAGAGAACTCAAGCAAGATCAACATAGCACTTCATACACAAAAACCAACTCAAAATGGATCATCAACCTAGAACTATAAACTGCATTACAGAAAAGCTTGGAAGACCTCTAGAAACCCTAATCCACAACATAAAATCTTCCACGCATCCTGAAAAACCTACATCCAGGAGAGGATAAAATATATGAATGGGATCTTCTAAGAAATCGCTATGCACATCCAAAAACTTCTCCAACAGGGTAAAAAGGGAAGCCACAGACTGAGAAAAAATATTTGGTAATGACATGTCAGATAAGGGACTTATAGCTAGAATTCATAAAATACTAGACCACCACAACAAGATAAAGGTATATAAACAGGATATAAACAGACAGTTCACCAAAGATGACATTCAGACGGCGAATAAACACATGAAGAAATGTTCAAAATCCCTAGCTCTAAGAGAGATGCAAATGAAAATAACTATGAGATATCCTCTCACCCCAGTAAGAATAGCAAAATTTAACAGAGCACCAAACATCAAATACAGGCGAGGTTGTGGAGAAACTGGAACCCTTAGTCACTGCTGATGGGAATGTAATGGTGCAACCACTGTGGAAGGTGGTGTGGTGCTTTCTCAAATAGTTGCAAATAGAGATACCATTTGACCCAGCAATTCCACTAATGGGAATGTACCTTAAAGTAACCATAACTGCCACCTAAGCAGATATATGCACACCCAGGTTTACTGTGGCTTTGTTCACAGTAACAAAGAGTTGGAAACAACCAAGGGCCCATCAACAAATGAATGGATAGAAAAGCTCTGGTATAGTCACACAATGGAATACTATGTGGCACTGAAAGACAAGGAACTCATGAAATATTATACAAAATGGGTGACCCTGGAGGACATTATGCTGAGTGGAATATCTCAGTCACAAAAGGACAAATATTGCATAGGGCCACGGTTGTAAAATGGGACTGACATCGGTGTTGAGGGAGGACAGAGGAGGAGGAGATGAATGATGTATACTGCACTGAAAGAGATGAGGGGGAGAACTGTTTAAAAGGGATACATGATTGGGTGTTTTGTCATGACAGGAGTCCAGAATGAAGGCTGCACAGTGTAGTGGACTTGGGGGAGAGGGGATAGGCAAGGAGAAAAGTGCAACAATGAATAGAAACCCTAAGTCTTAGTAAACTTTCATTAAAATTAATAAAAGGGGGGGAAAAGTGAATGGGGGGATGGGTGGGCAGGGAGAAAAATGCAACCATGAATGAATAGAAATCCAAAGTCTCTGTAAAGGTTCATTAAGATTAATAATTTAAAAAAGCATTTGTATACATACGTCCAAAAATATATGGCGAAAAATATCCTAAACTTATTTTCCTTGGTACTAAATACTTGTCAGAAAATAGGGTGTCAGATGTAAGTAGAGATGAGGGACATCTCTGTGTGTGTGTGTGTCAACAGACACACAACCTAGAAACATGTTTATCCACCTAGTTTTCAGATTTTAATGATCACCTTGTAACCCTCTTTAAGAATAATGGTAAACCTCCAACAGTAATTACTCACTTGTAGCTTCCCATTCTGATTTACTTAATGTTCCCTAAAATAAGAAAGAAAGAAAATTTCAGAATCAATATAGAATACATACTTATCTTTCAATCACAAGTGGTATCAGAAAACTCAAATCCACTATCATCAAGTCAATTCTGACGCCTAGGAACTTAAAAGCTTTTACCCACAGCTCCACCTGGGAGAGAGGCAAGCAAAGACCCCACCTTTATTGTAAATATATATACTTAATACTTAATGTGACAAATACACTAATGAAATTCACTTCTAATGCCACTTTATCATTTTTAATCTTCTGACAAGTTCTCCAAACCATTCACTCTAAATTAAAAGGTAAGTGTAGGTAAAAACGACAGATAATGGTGTGAGTGTGTGTGTACATTTGTGCAAAGAAGTCCTGGTTGTGTAGTAGTAAAAGCAAGAAGGTGATAATCAAAACGCGGGCAGTTTAAAACTACCAACTGCTCTGAAACAGAAAGATGTGGCAGTCAGATCCTGTAAAGATTTACAACTCGGAAAAATTACACAGTGTTTTACTTTTTCCTGTACAGTCACTATGAGACAGAATCAACTCCAATACAATGGGTACGTGTGTGTATAATCAGAAAAAGTACTTATCTCTAGATTCTTTTTTTTTTCCAAATTAGTTTCTTACAAAGTTTGTATACATTGTGTTTCACACTATCCTTCATTCACACTGGGTTTCATACAATCATTTCGATCCATTATATTTCATAAAATTAATCAACATTGAACTATGTCCACCATTGCCTTATCTTTCCAGCTGCCCACTGGATCTTTCCCATTTCTCTTACGCACGCCACCCTCCACCCAACAAATCGTGCGACCTTATGATTTACCTCCTGCCCATACTCATGCTTCTGCTCCTATCCTACTCCATTAGATCCTCATACATATTTTACTATTTCTACAATAATGATCTCTAAAATATTTGTCCTTATGAGACTGCGTTCATTCACTGAGCATAATGCTGTCCAGAAGCTCTCAAGTTATGTGGTAATTTTCTAAATTGTTGCTCTTGAGTACTGCATAGTATCGAATTATGTGAATCTACCACAATTTCTCAATCCATTCCACCGTGGTTAGACATTTGGGCTATTTCCATGTTCTTGCAATGGTGAATAACAATGAACATTGGTGTAAAAATCTCCACTTGTGTCTCAGTCCTAATTTTCTCGGGGTACGTTCCAAGCTGGGTTATATGGAATATCTGTGTTCAGCTTTCTGAGGAAACACCAAACTGCCTTCCAGAGTGGTTATACCATTTTCCAATGCCACCAACATTGTATGAGAGTTCTTAATTCTGCCTGCCCTCTCCAAAATTGATTACTTGCCATCCTGTTAAATTTTGCCACTATTATGGGGTGAAATGGTATTTCAGGGTGGCTTTCATTTGCCTCTCTCTTATTCCCAGTCATTTTGAGCCTTTCTTCACATGTCTGTTGACCATCTGAATGTCTTCCCAATGTTGTTGTTATGTGCCGTCGAGTTGCCTGAGACTCATAGCGACCCTATGTACAAGAGCCCTAAGCTCCGCTCTGTCCTGTGCCAATCGCACCATCTCTGACACGCCCATTCCAATTATCCCAGTCACTGAATCAATCCACCTCTCCTGGGCCGTCCCTCCACCCTCCCAAGCATGATGTCTCTCTCCAAGGACCGGTCTCTCCTCACAACATGTCCAAAGTATGTTAGACGGAGCCTCAGAATACTTGCCTCCAAGGAGCCACCCAATTTAACCCTTTCCAGGACAAATCTGTTTGTTTTCCTAGCAGTCCATGGTATTCTCAATACTGTTCTCCAGCACCACAGCTCAAAGGCATCAATTCTCCTTCTAT